GCTCCAGAACACAAGATTCTTTTGGTTTCCATCTTAGTTGGAATGAAAGTATTCTCCCTGATAGAAAGAGGCAAATTAAACATAATGTAATTGGAGGGGTGGGTCAGCCCCACGATATCATTCAGGCTCACCCAATTCTTTGAGGAATTAGAAACAATTGTCTTTGCCTTATAAATCTTTACAAAACTAGAAATGCAGCTCTAGAAGCAATACAAAGTCCACCTGTCCTCACCAATCCCAAAACCTTCCCTCTTTATCTCAAAATGCTTGTAGCATATTGATATTGTAAAGGATTGGGACATTACACAGATTGTCCTGTACTAATGAAAAGGAAAAATTTAAATGGTAATTACCCTAGACCTCTGATAATAGGAAAATATATCCCAAAACTCCTTGAAGAAAACTTGGATATTTTTTCCTGTGCCTTTGAGATGTAAATTTTCTACCCCCATCTTCTCTAGCCCCTGAGAGCCATCTCTTTGAAATGCAAACATTAGGGAGATGATTCTCATCAGAAGGAAAAAATTGGAGCTATTTGGAAATTGAGCAGAAGAAAAGAAACCTTGTGTCTTCTCCACAAATATTGGTAAAAAAGCTTTAGCCATCTGAGTAGGTGAACTTAACTTATTCCATCTGCCAGAAACAAAATTTGGATCCAACTCTTCTTTATAAACTAGTGAGTTTGGTATTATTGCACCTAATTCATGTCTAAAATTTTATAACGCTAGCTATAAAGTATCTGTTTGCATTTGTCTGTATGTTTATGATGTCTATATGTGTCTGTTGTAGATGAATGATACTTTTTTACCTCCAGATGGTATTGCCAAAATTAATGTGTAAAAGGGTTCTATTCAGTTGGCTCAAAAATAAGCACTTAACAGTATGACTGTATATGAAGTAAGTATTTCTAGACTCTCTGAAATATGGAAACAAATCCAAATGTTTTCCAAGTTCACACGATCTGGGAAAATCAGTAAATAGATGCTAGTTTAAGTTGGTTTAATTAGAATAGGCACATCTTCAGAGTTGTCAGTGTTGGATAATGCAGGCATACAACTTTTATTCTATCTGGGTTTATTAGTCAATAAGTTCATGTTATCTCTGTTACAAAATCTGTCAGCAAGAAAAATAGGATGATAGCTAACTTTGTTTAATGTCTCATGAAATTTTCAGGAGTAATCTAAATATGGTTGTTAAGAACAAGTGAATTAAATAGATGTAAGTGGAATGAAAGTTTATAAATGAACTTTTCAACAGTGAAGTTTTATAAGATATGTGTACTTTAAAATAGCTTCCAAAATCTTTCTGGTAACTTGAAACCTTAAAATTTGCTAAGTTAGATGGTGGACATTTATGGAATATCTACATCATTTCCAAATAAGATAAAATACTGAAACCTTGATTAGCGAACATAGGTTTATCTACTTTTGGCTTCATATTACAGAGAAAGTAAACATATTTGTATCTGCTGGTAAACATCTCTAGTGCCACACTGGAAAATTGTATTATGAAGAAGTATTTGCTTCTAGAAATTATGAAATGTATTCATAAATTTGCCAATCTACAGAATGTTTGTATGTAACAGACAGTTCATAATTGTTTAGTTTTCACTAGAAATTAGGGTTCCAAAAGTTGGGAATTCTAATTAACATATGTAATTAAAACTACTAGAAATAGGGAAACATCTCTGTACACGAGGAAAGATGTGTTCTTGGTTAAGGCCACATATGTGGTATGAAGATGCATTTTCATTAAAGGAAAGAGAGTAATTTTGTCCTAATGTATAACTGGTTGTTTCAGAACAGGAAAGAAGAATAAGGACAAATTAAATGCATATAGAAAGTTGGGAAGTGAGAGAGAGGGAACCTTGTATAATTAGACTAACTAAAATGGAATGAATTTATTATAAGGGTTTAAAGATGAGCTTTACTATCAATAGTGTACTTATGTAAAACTAAAACTTAATTTTCTTTCATCTGATAAAAGGGCAAAGTTTTCTTGGACTATTGGTCTGCTCCTCATAAAAGATTGTGAGAGGATTTTACCTTTTAAGTAATCTGCCTAGAACACAAAGTTTTTGTGTTTTACTAAAATAATTTTCTGTGCTTCATGTTATCTTTATCATCAAGGTATTTGATTACTTAAGAAAAGCGGAGTCTTCTCAATATTGAGAGTGAGGTTTTGCTTACAACTGTGTAATCTTCTGTATTTATCTTAAAAATATTTTGTTGCTTTGGTTAAATAGGTAGTTAAGTATTGTTTCATAATGATCTGTGATCTTATTTTGTCGTGTCCAAAACTTTTGATATTTTTAACAAACTTCTGAGAAGCAAATTCTAAATGAAGTCTTTTTGACCTTGAACTAACTTGGGATATTCCAGAGGGTCCCTGGAACATCTCAAGATTTGTTCTCTCTCCTTGTAAAAAGAGATATTAAACCAACTAGGCTTTTGTTATATTACATGGGAAACATTGGCAAGATAAGTGATACTAAACTTTGTTTAGGTTATATTTGTGTGGATACATATTATTAATATATGTGTTCCACAAATTGTATGAAATTCCTGGTAATCTGATATGTCCTGCTATAATGTTATCACTTGTAATTCTAGTTATCTTAAAATGTACGTCAGAGAAATAACCAAATTTCCTCGCCAATTGCATTATAATGAATTCTTAATCAGATCTTTAACCAGGGCCATTTTTAAGTCTTTTTTCATTTACAGACATTATTGTTTTGCTTTTGCAAAACCGTTTCCCAAAGCCCTGCAAACCGAATGTGAACAACTTCCTATCAGATTCAGGGAGATACCACAATCGCTCGTGGTTAGACAACCTTTGTACCCGCTGCTGTGCAGGCCACTCAGAAAGTTAATCTGAACACCTGATGACATCGGAGACATACAAACTGCAAAGGATGTTTCAACCCTCACATCTAGAAATCTTCCAACAGGCTGCCCTCAGGACTCAGACTGGGTTTATAATTTGTTCCAACCATTAACTTTGTTTTCCTTTTGTTTCCATAGAAATGCCTCTTATTAAATACCTGATTGCTCACGCCATCTAAGCATAACTTTGGGAGCCCACCTGCAGCACCAGCTCCTGAAATGAGACACCGCTGTTTAACTGAACTGACTTATTCTCAAGACTAAAAGATGGGTTCAATGAAATAATAGAGCAATCTATCAACTCAGCTCTGCACTGTGAAACTTTTCTGTGAAGTTTCAAAGGCAGGACTGAGGGGAACAGAATATGCCACCCCTTAAATACGCCTCTTTAGCATAAGGATTATTTTGAGCTGATAATTATTAAGAAACAGCAGACACAGGAAAAGTGCTGAAAACTTTTCAGAGAAGTTACCCTTTTGTGAGGGAAATTTACCTTTAGAAAAGAAATCTCCATTTCTAAGGCTGTCTCCCTCTCTGTGCTAGGAAGAGAAGGATGACTCTAAATCACAAGAAAGTCTTATCAATGGAGAAGGTGTCCAACTTACATCTATATGACAACCTTACCCTTGTTTACTGTACTTTTCCTGGTAACCTCCCAAGACTGGCCTTCCTCACTCCAAATGTCTCTCTTGTGTCTTTAGCTGAAGATGATATTTAAGGTGGTAGCTTGGGCCATTTTGGAGAGTTACTCAGTTTTTCTGGGTCTCTCCCATGTATACAGGAGGTATACATGTTATTAAACTTCTATACAGGTTTTTCTCCTGTTAATCTGTCTTTTATTAAAGGAGTGGTCTCACCCAAGAACCTAGAAGGGTAGAAGGAAAATTATTTTTCCTCCCCTACAAGGATATTTAGAAAGTTTGCGTTATTAACTATTAAAGTCAAAGCATTTTTCTTTTTAGGAAGGAGCAGAATCATCAGTCAACCATGAGCTTAAAGAAACACAACATAATCCAATGCTAATGGCAGAAGGGTATATTCTTAGCCGCCTCAGAAAGGCACAGAATACATGGTTCAGACAGCAAATCCCTGGTGCCCATCAGAACTTTGCCAGGGGCTACATTACATTTGTTAAACAATTTGGGCTCCTAGCCATTCCATAATTTTATAAGACCTGGTCATATACCTTGTAATATATATATATACACACATACACACACACACTTTTTTTACCAGTGCAACATATATGCTATCTAGAGTCCATTTACTTTATATTAGCTTTGGTTTCACGGTGATCAAACTGTGGCAAAACTAAATTAGACGTACTGATATAGTCATTAATTTGGCTTAGAAAGTGAACCAAAAAAAGAACCAACTTTAAAAGAATCTTTGGTGGCATGTTAAAGGCATTATACTTTAGCATGAAAAGAAAGAAACACTCAAAAAATGTCTCTAAATTGCAAGATTTAATAAAAAGCTTCAAACCCATTAACTTTCTTTAAAATAGAAGTCACCCAGATTAATCCTAGAGGTCTCAAGTCATGATCTATAAGTTAACAGACTCCTCTGTTACGTGATTTTTTAATGGCTATTATTAAACACACGAATTTTTTTAAAAAAAACAGTAAATCACAATGGCTTTGTAAAATATCAAATTCAAAAATTACATAAAATCTTACAGCCAAAAGTCAAGAGAAGAAATATAAAAACAATTTGGGAATAAAGACTTGGAAAAATTTTTGCTAAACTCAAATATCTTAGAAGCTCCATTACCCATCTCTGTCCGTGTGGCCTGCATGATGGACATGGTGCCACCCACTGGGCTGGGTGGATGATGTCAGAAGCACTTGCAAACAGAACACAAAGAGCTTACAAATCCTGTCTTCTGGTATGGGCGAGGAGTGGACAGCGGCTTTTAAACTAGGTTGAATTCCCTCAGGTTTAGCTGTAGAATTGTGTCTTTCACGGCAGCAAACACAAACCGGATATTCTCTGTGTCTGTAGCACACGTGAAATGCGAATAGATGACTTTCTCTTTGTCAGGATTCTGATCTTGATAAAGCTTCAGGATAAAGTCTCTGGCAGCTTTGACATCCTGCTTTGGTCCTAGTCAAGAGTGCAGTTAGAGGAATAAAGAAGAAAGATACCAACTCACCACCAGGTCCTCTCAAAAATCGTTTTCAATGGACTCTCGTTCTTATTTGGCATCCTTCTTTGGGCTATCTCATTTCTAGAGAATCGTTTATCTGGGGCATTATTTTTATTATATTTCATTATGAACCCGTAAAAGTATTTTAAAGTGTCCACTAGTACCTAAAAATTGTATTTTAAGGCGATTTGTTGGAAAATAGTGACGCGATTTAATTTTCTGATTTAGACCACTTTTGAAGAGATGTAATCCTTATTAACTCAGGCAGACAGAAGTGGGCTAGGAGACGGAAAAGGAAGAATGTGGGAACTAACACTCTTAGGTGCCCAAGTCTGATTTTCAAGTTTGAGGGCTCTATACCACATCGCAAGTACGGATAATAAAAGGAAAAAGGAGAGTGCCAAAACACTACTCCTCCGAATGTCAAACCTAGTAATATTTGAGACCTCTTGTACCAGAAATAATTAGCAACGGGCATAAACTCTCCTGCCTTGGACAGGTCATGTAATAAAGAACTTCAGAGTCTTTATTACAGTGGTAACAGGGCTGCGACAATTTAACCGACACACACAAAGTGCCAGGTGCTCTGACGGGCGCTAGGAATGCAAAGACAAGTCGGGCACAGTCTCTGCCCTCAGGAGCCGACTGAGGAGAGGGCTGAGCCAGCAGACACTGAACAGCCAGTGTGAGGAAGGCCGAGAGGGAGCAAGGTGAGCCCAGGCTGCCAAGGGGGGCACGCCTACTGCAGATGGGGTGGGGTGAGGGGCAGCAGGACTGCCCCCAGGGAGAGGTGCCTGAGCTAGGTCTTGGAGAACAAAGTAGAGTTGGCAAAAGGAGTTGGCAAATACATTCTGGGCACTGGGAGAGGCAGAGGTGGAGGTGCTGAGGCGAAGACACACGCTGATGCAACTGGAGCTTCCATTCAAAGGTGGGGAATGGTCAGAACGTCTGTCAGAGGCAGATGAAGGAGGCCCCTGTGAGCGTGTTAAGGACTCTGGACTAATGCCAGGGAGGTCCACAAGATGGACACTGACTTACCTGTGTATTCTGGAAAATAGCTAATTAGATGAGAGTACATGATTTTCTCTTCCAAAAGATCCTTCTTGTTTAAGAACAAAATCACAGATGAGTTCAGAAACCAGGGGTAGGTGATAATGGTTTTGAATAAGGCTTTGCTCTCTTCCATGCGGTTCTAAGTGAGAAACAAGGGACTGCGGGTTAACGAGAAAGAAAAGCGACACTTTGGAAACAACATGCTAAATAGCTGTTTGCATCCATCTGTGCTCCTCTCACCCAGCTGCAGTCTCTGGGTCACTGTCCTTGCTGAAGCTGGTGAGCACGTGGGGCCCCTCCAGACACCGGGCCTTCTGCTTCTATTTCCCCCCATCCCACCCTCTCATTACTCACCCCCTGCTGGGTCTCCTCTCCTGAAGCACCCCATCTCTTCTCTAGCCCCAGCTAACACACAAGGATATAAGAAAGGCTTTTGTGCAATCTGGAACAAGAAGGTTCAGCCTCATATTTGACCAAAGTTTTGTGCACATAATTATTGGGATTACCAAGTATGGGAGATTCACAGCTTTGGACCTGAGACACCCACTTTAATTGGGTGTGGGCTCCCAGACTGTACGTCAGGAGTCATAGGACAATGAGAGGAAGGCAGACTCTTCCAGTAGGGCCAGCACCCTTAGGAATGCTGGACGCTGGCCGGGAAGGGAACTAACCCTACTGAGCACCCACTCTGATCCTTTATGTGCATGTACTACAGGTGAGCTCTGCAAGGGGAACAGCGCCCCCTGTTGTGTGATGAGCACAGTATTGTTCACAAAATTTAAATACTTTCCGAAGCCCATGTAATAGTAGGATTTGGCGGAAATTAGGTAGAAAGACAGTAATAATTTATGAACATTAGACATTGGCAAGAAAATATTAAATGTTCTTAATTTATGGAGAGCCGATAGGGCTCATACAAATCTTATCTGGTGACAATAATTGTTCTATATGGCATTCTGCTCTCTCAAGTATTTCTAAGAGGAAAGAAACCAGAACGTCCCTCTAGGGAGGAAGGAAGTCAGACTGAAAAACGTCAAAGCTCAGTGCTCCCGCTCCGGAGAGACGTGCCGTAAACCTCCATTTCCTACAACTCCCAGACACCCAGGCTCACCCTCCTGCTCAGGACATTTTAGGGGATTAAAATCTGGAATTTATTACCAGAGAGATAACCCCTCACTTGTTTTGAAAGCTTCTTTAAAATTTATTATGCTCTTATCAATAATGATCTCCAAGAAAAAAACAACTCCTAGACAGCATAGACACTGGATGCAGCATATCTACAACCGGGAGGGAAAAGTCTGAGTGGCAACTGCTTAATTTTTCTCCAGGTACCTTGCGATCTTGTTTAATTTCTAAGCACCTCGGGCTGAGGTCCTGTCCCTCGCACACCTGACTGATCTTCTGAGTTCCCTGGGAAACGTCATAAGTAATTCCCAAGACAAATTTGGAGCTAACCTTTCATATTGATAACTGGATGCCTTTGCTTTTTAAAAAAATTTCTCCACTGGAAGAGCTGGGCGGCAGCCAAGATTTCTATTCTTCTTTGCACAATGACACTAGTAAATGGGTTAATCCTTCACTAATTAGCTAATGTAACTGTGCTCCTCAGAGAAAAGCCTGCTCTCAAGAAACACAAGACATAATTTGTTCATAGTTATTGCCTAATCCTGGACAGAGTTCTTTATTGATTTACTTCCATGCCCTAGGAGTAAGAGACATTTGTAAAAGGTCAAGAGGTTTTGTACAAGGGTAGGGGAAAGGACAATGAAAGACCATGGTATCCCACAGAAAATACCACCCCCTCTCACAGGGACGTGACCGTGCTGGTTCTCTCCCCTTCCCAGGCAGACCCAGCTCATGGAGTCCCACCCCCCCCCCCAGTGCTCTGGCAACTCTGCAGTGGACACAGAATGCCTCACTGGGTGGGTCAGTCCCAGCTGCCCTGAGGGAGTCCCTTCCAGGCGAAGTGAAGGGCAGATGCCATCCCAGGAGGCCCCAGGACAGCTCCAAGCACCTGCAACCACTCCCCATGCCAACCCAGCTAGGGACCTAATTGGGGAGCACCATGGGCCATGGAGGTTGGGAAGCCTATTCTCAGATAAAGTTTATTAGAAACAGCTCAACTTTGGCTACACATTAGCATCCTTGGGGGGCTTGAAAAAGATACCTCCAACTCAAACCCAGGAAATAGGAGTCTCTACTGTGGTGTCCAAAAGATGGTATTTTTTCAAAAATTCCCCAGGGGATTCCAATATGCAGCTAAGGCTGAGACCCAATGCTTTTGAGTGGCTCCACCCTTGGCAGCACGTTAGATTAGAGCCCCATGCTCAGGCCACACCCACCACCAATTAAATCAGAATCTCAGGTTGGACCCAGGTGCCAGGTTTTTTTTTTTAAGGTCCTCAGGGAATTCCTATCTGCATCCAAACTTAAGAACCAGATTTCCAGGCCAGTGATTCTCAAACTTTCATGTGGATTTGAATTACCTGGGATCGCGTTAAAAGACAGATTCTGATTTTTTTGGTCTGGCTTGATTCAATAGGTATGAATTTCTCAAAAGCAATCAAGTAAAGCCTGTGCTGCTAGTCTAAGGACTTTGAGTAGCAAGACAATTTAACCTAAGGAATAGAGGAATAGTACCAAAGCTGGCTGGCTTCTCGCAAACTGCGGAAATAGATCTGTCTTCCTCAGCTAACCAAACTCCCCACCCGGCATACCTCATTGTCACACTCAGCTAGGACCTGGTCATATTCACTCAGAGCAACCAAAAAAATAATGGAGGTGACACTCTCAAAGCAGTGAATCCATTTCCGTCTTTCAGATCGCTGGCCACCAACATCCACCATCCTGTTCAATAGAAACACAGATCTCAAAGGTTGGAACACATGACTCTTTGGGGAAAAAGGACATGAATTCATTATACCATGGATATCAGCACTCCTTAGGGTCCTCGATAATTTTTAAGAGTAAAAAGATGTCCTAAGATTAAAATGTTTGAGCACCACTGCTTTAGGCAATGCGGAATCACAGGATGTTTGCTAGCAAAGGAGCAACAGAATGTAAGTGATGTTACTGAAGACGGATGCAGAGGTCACCTGGGTGAAGCCTGCCTGGGGACACTGGATAGGTAGCTGCTGCTGTAGTCCAGGCAGAAAGCACAAGCATCCACTTGGGTGTTGTGAGAGCACTGCAGAGTGCCAGGACACCAGACACAAAAGGGGCGGAACGGCAGGCAGTCTCCCAGGTCCACTCAGCTTTCTTCAGGCCCCTGCCCCTTCCTGTTTTCATGGCTCCTCTAATTTATCCACAAATCCTTTCAGCGTGAGGTAGACGCCACCTCTCCTTCCCGAGAAAGACCAGCAGTGCCCTCTTCCAATGTGGAAATCAAAGCCTTTATCCGTGTCTTTGGGAAGGATTTCAGGGAATCATAGCCCAAGAGTCAATCACAAGCTCGAATGCTCCAGGGCTCAGGCAGTTTGTGGAAATGAGTCTAGAGGGTTGCTCTAAAATCGAAAAGCATGCGTTGTGAGAGTGCCAGGGCCCTGCCTAAAGCGGCGGCTGCTACACAGCTGCAGCCAACTGCTGCTGGACAAAAACGCAGGTTCACCACGACCACATGCTCCAACTTTCCGAGAGAAACTAGATATCATATGCTTTAAGTGAAATACCCCCATTTTTAAATGTTGACTCCAAAGTTTTTTAAAACACCAAGTAAGCTGAAGAGAATACATCTGTGGACCAGATACACGTTTTGGAAGCCGCAAGCAGCATTAATTCTGAAAAGGTTTAGAGAAATTCTTGGGCACACAGCACAGAGGATGTGCTCACAAAGATGCAGACTTTCGAGGGGCTCGACCAGAGGGCTCCCCCAATGCAACAACGCTCTAGATGCACTGAGATGTGACCAAGTTTACAGACAGGACCTGGACGTGGCAGGACCGCACTTGTGTCGTCTCAACTAGAGAAGCACGTGTAATAACTATTAGGAGGAACAAGGGAGCTGATGGATAGAAAAGTACTTGGAAATTCGCAGTGCTCTGCATTGCACAAAACCATAGGATTATTTGTTTTTTTGCCATAATTAAATGCATGGAACATCTACTTAAGCCATCCTAAAAGTATTTTCTATATTTGCACATGGAAATTCATACATTTTTACACAGCTGTAAATAATTTATGTATATTATCTTATATAATTTTTAATACACATTTTTGTATTGATTCTTAGTTTTCTTTTTTTAAGGATAAATCTCGAAGAAGGGAATGAAAGGGAAGAGAAATATTATTCAACTTTAGGGAAAAGACCACAGTATATTCAATCTGTGGGTTACAAAAATATACGTCTGTGTGTGTGTGTATTTTACACATAAGAATCATTCCAGACATGAGGGAGGAAACCCTTATTCTCTAAGGGGAATAAAAGATGAGTTCCTCTGCATTCTAGGACTTGAGACCTACTACAATTCTAAATACTCTGTGATGAAGAGGGCCATATTGCCCTAAGAGATATAACTTCTATTAGGAATAACATATTTAAGAATCCATTTGGGGACTTGCAAGCCCAGACAGGCAAATTCTTCATGGAACATGCTGGGGAGACATGCATACCGAAAGATGATGTTTTCCAAGTCAAATGGATACTCAATGATGCCAGTTGTGGGCACTCGGACACGAAGCACATCTTGCTGCGTTGGCACGAATGACGGCATGGCGATCCGGTCGATGTCAGTCAGGTAACTGTGATATTAGAGAACAAGGCACTGAGACTCATTTTAGAGAAGGGAAAAATGTCCATCTCACTCCAAAGAAGTCACCCCGACTCACACAACCCCCACTCAGATTCATGGATTCCATTAGTGACTCTCTTGAGAGCTAATGCTCCGGCCCTCCTATGAGAACATGGAGCAGAGCCTTCTGGGAAATCGGCAGGTCACTCCATCTCTTCCTCCTGGCTCTAAGCTGGACCACAATCTGAGGTCTCATCTGTCCTCCTCCCTCCAAAGGCCCTTCTCCCTCCCACGCTCACCCTCATCCAAGAACACTATAGAATGTAGATGCTGATCTCAAACGCTTTGCTCAATAAATTAGTTTCTAAGAAAATATAAAGGCATAAAACAGGCCAATAGGAAGTTCCTTCAAAATAACAAGAAAGAGTTTTCTGTTACCCTAGGAAATTAAACATCCCTAAAATAACCCAAAACTTAGCTTGGATTATTTTTGGCCATATGTTAAAGCCCTAAGATTAAAGGATATCACTTTTTCTATGGTAAAATGAGAGGACACTTAAAAAAAAAAAAAAGTATGTCATTTATAAAGGGCATTTTTGAGTAAAATAACTGTAACCCAAGCCCTGGCCAACAACAGAGTGGGTGATTCTGAGCACTCCCTCCAGACTGAGGTTGGTCCTGCCTTCTCCCCACACAAGCAGAGGCGGCCTAGGTCTGCCTGGGGCTGAGCAGGAGGCATGAAGGGGAGCCAAGAGGTAACAGGCAAACCCTACTCATTGTGCAGCCCTCAGCACAGGAAGCAATCCACTGGGGCACCTTCTGCAACCCCCCACCTATGCCTCGTCCATGATCCCAGGGCTTATCACCGTGACTTCCATGTCTGTGATTTTTTCATTTATCCATGTCTCATTCCACCAGCCTGGATGTTCCTTGAGGGCAAAGAGCACTGGTTGTACCTGCAGCCCTTACCACAGTGCCTGGCCCATTTTTGTGAATTGGATGCCTGTCCAAATAAGCAGACAGCCCTAGCAGAGTGGACGACAACCACTGACTTGGACCGCGGAAGTGCACTAGCGCCTCGAGTCTCGCCAGTTGCAAAGGCAGGCAACCGTCTGGATCTAGGAGTGCCATGATCTCTGTGGCAGCTCTGTCCACCACTTAGCCACTCCACACCCCTCTCAATGGACTTGCCCCAGTGTTCAGGGCTCCCTTGAATTCTGTAGCAGTTCCAGGGGGTCTTTGCCAAGTGGATCTACATCAAGAACCCCAGCCAATCCCAGGGCCTTCACAGAAGCAAATGACACTAGACTGTGTCAGGGGAGGGTCAGGGGTGCCTTGGCCCACTCGGAGCTGTCCCTGGCTCCACAGCTGTCAAAGGCAGTCTGCCCTCCTCTTTGGGACTCTGCCTTCCTTCCTCCTGGCTCTTTTCTGTGCTGATCCAACCCCTCATCGGGCTCCTTTTATTTCCTTTTCCTGTTTTGCTGCTCTTTTGCACCTAAATTTTCCTGTACTCAGATTGGTTGTGCCAATGTGGATTAATGACATTAAGCAGCCTGGGACAAATGCCAAAGGGAGACCACCAAAACTGAGGAGGTAAGACTGCAGTTTCCTTTCCCGCCCACTGCCTTGTCCAGACGATGGGGGTGATCCACCCACCCACGCCAGCTCAGAGGGCGAGGGCAGCCCCTGAAGGAAAGGGCAGGCATCTCGGGAAAGGACTGGGGGGCGCTCAGAGGATGGAAGGAGATGTGGGGCAAAGGGGGAGGAGCTGAGCTGCAGAACCAGGAATCATCACCTCTTTGAGAAGGAACAAGATCAGTGACGTAGGCCATGGGAGGCATTACCTCGGGAACTTTTCTGAAGAAGATGAAATTCTGTAATCTCTCTGGGTTGGTTTGCATGCTGGACCATCTACTTCCTTTTACCTTCAGGGATTAATGATTTAAAACTAGAGCTTTATGGATCCAAAATATAGTGTGTAGGCCTTCGCAGGAAGTCAATAAACAAAGGGCTCCAAGACTGAGCTTCCTGCCTACGCTGGGCCCGCAGAGCCTGTCTTACCCACTAGAGGGCAGCACCAGACCAGCCACGACGGGCCTGTTACACCGCCGGTCTCAACTGATTGCCAATTTTAGGGCAACTGGACCTGCTGTCTAGTGATCAGGAAACCAGAAGGCAGAGAGATATGAAGAGGAAGAAAGTAGAAGCAAGAAGCAGATCAGATCATTGCAGCACCCTAAATGAGATCGATCCCACCACGGGAACCCCACATTTGATTTAGCCTTTCATTGAAAAGGACAGAGACTTAGAACACAGCAAGGACAGGTAGGTGTGGGCAGGGAGAGAGATCTGGGGATCCACAGGGGGTTTGAAAGTTTCAGGAGGTGGTGAGAGACACACCAAGAAGTCAGAGGGGGATACAGAACGGGAGGGAGGGAGTGTGGCCCTGGAGCGCCCACATCTTAGCAAGCAGCTCATTTCTCCCTAGTGAGAAGCTCCTCTGAAGTGTGGCCCTGCCTCCCTGAAAGCTGGTTGGGCAGCCATGCCCGGGGCTCTGTACTCACTATTTGGCAGAGTCTGACAGCTGGTATTCCCTTCTCCTGTCGTAACACTCCTGGATTCCTGGGTCCTGCCACAGCTGCTTGATGGCCTCTACCTGGTCCCTGGAGAGTGCAGAGACCTTGTCCACTTCCACTTCTCTGATTAGCTGGGCATTTTCCTACTCAAAGGAAAGAGAACCTTTCATTAGGCAAAGGAAAGGAAGCTAACCCATTGGTGACTTGGGGACAAGACTTGCCCTGGTCTGTGGGTCATGGAAGATGTCCCCATGTGCTGGGGTGTGGGAGGTGCCCTTCAGAAGGACTGCTCACAGCCAAGCCACTCAGCTGCAGCCATGTTGAGTGGCGATGATGTGGTTGCTTAGCTCAGTGGAGAGAGCCACAGAGAGCCCGAGATCTGCGGCTTTTGGTCCCAGCAGTCATTCAACACCCAGTCATGAAGAGAGATGGAATGATCGATCATCATCATACTAACGAACTTTACTTCCTCATTAAGGTGCTACTCATTTGAATATCTGCATAGCCAAATTGAAAAATAATGATTATTACTGTTAATGTCATGCCAAGGGTGGGGTGATGGAAGTGGGTCCACGCTGGTGCAGGCAATAAGGGAGTGCACTATCTTCAGAGAACTGAAAAATAACGCCTCCACCAACTAACCACCAGTCTTTCTTTCTCTTTCCTTGATTGTTTTTTTAAAAAAATTTTAATAGACTATTGTTTAGAGCAATTTTAGGTTCACAGCAAAACTGGGAGGAAAGTACAGAGAGTTCTCATACATCTGCTTTTAATTATCATGCGTCACTGATAAAACTCTTTCCCACTGGGAGAACCACTCCCATTGCAAACCCCCTCCCCCAGGCCACTGATTGCTCTAATGGTATATTTATGATTACCATCATTATTAAATAGTTATTGGTCTCATATTATTGCTCTATTATTATAGTAATTGTTAAAAGCATTATTGCTGTAATTATTACTATTAGAGGAGTTACCATTTATTGCTCACTTACTATGTGCCAAGGGCGCTACATGCATTATCTCATTTAATCAATGGAAGGCCAGCACTAGGCCAGAAATCCTTCCAGACCTTGGCAAAGGAAAATGATAAGGTTGGCCCGCATCCATAACACGTCATGTGTTGGCCCTGGACACTCAGCATCCCGTCCTTGGCTGCAAGCTGCAGCAGACAAGAGAATCCTGCGGAGAGAGACAGGAGCCCAGCCGGCCTGTTCTTCGCTCTCCCATCTTGCTGGCATCTCACAGCAATTACATCATGCCGAGCTGGCTATTCACTGGCAGCTGTGAGTCAGCAAAGCATCCGTTTGGCGGCTGTGATCTCCTTGAGTGTATATGGTACCCCCTGAAACGTTGCTCTTATCTTGCATCATTCATCCTCATTAATAGTCCAACAGGAAGCGGGAGTAGAGGGAGATCTCATAGATTCACTTGGCAAGGGGCAAAATGGAGGGCTGTGATGAAATCAACATGACTTTGCCCCACATCCATCAAGAGGGGACATAAACTAGCCCCCAGATGTAGAGGATCCCGGGTGTAGAGTCTCAAACAAGGTCTCGCCGGATGGGTTAGTGGGAAGTGCCCTAGATGGGGAATCAGGACCCTGAACTCCAAGTAGCACAGCTGGGGCTTTTAAGGACCCCAACAAGTAACCTGTCTTGCTGTCCTCGTTTGTAAAAGGAGCCAGTGATTTTCAGGGGAACCTGATTTATAAACTGTAAAGTATCACCCAAAGGTAAGTAGAGTTAGCCTTATAATTAAAGGAGATGCCTAATCAATATTTCTTGTTTGCACAAACAGGACACGTTGATAGCCCTTAACCCATGACTCCTAATCCCAGCCACTGGCACATTTTGCATCATCTGCCCCATTCTCAGCCAGAGGGAATGGCGCATGGAGAAGCTGGACAGTGTCTGTGTGGAGCAGAAGGGCTCGCTCCCACTTCCTCTCCTCTCGCCACTCTCCCCCAAATAGGACCAGAGGGTCTCTGGTCACCCTGGGCTTACCTCTCCCCTCTAAATTTAAAGTCTCTGTTTTCCTCTTTGTCTTCACGACAAGTCAGAAAATGCCACAAGGGCAGGGCCAAGGTCTTATCTGTCCTTATATCCCAGAACCTAGTGCAGTGCCTGGCACATAACAGGTGTCCTCTATTGATGTAGGCGCCCCATAAACATTTGTGGCATACATAAAAATGTATCTATCTGACAGACAGAAAGTCACAGCAAAAGAACGCCAGGGCAGGATGACAGAAGCCTGTGCTGGTCAGGTGGGAGCACAGAGGAGTTAGAAGATGGAATGTCCCTCGGAGGAGGAAATGCTCGGCGACTCTTGGCCAGTTTGTCTTCCCCACTCTGCCCCTGGTGGCAGGCAGCATCTTTGCTGTTTGGGTGCACACCCCTTATGCTGCTCTGCTAAATTTAACTACTACATTCAGCTTGACGGCTGAGAGGGAGCACTGTGTGAATCATCAGGAATGGTACAAATATTTCTACCTCTCCTCACAAACGCAAGGTAGGGTTGTACTTCACGGTGAACGCAATGCAAGTGGAAGCAACATTTGAGTGAGTAATTTACCACAATCCCTTTCATCTGCCAAGGTGATTGTCACGAGACAAGATGGAACCTCTATCAGGCAGGCTTCCTAAGCGACTACAATAAGCAGAGAGCCCCTGACACAACACATTGCACAAGCAGCACGAGTGAGAAATCAACTCTTTTATGTTAAGTAAGCTGAACTTTGGGGGCAGTTCATTACTGCAGCATAACCTACTCTAGCCTAACTGATACACGCTGCAATAGATAAACCCAGCACTGGGCTCTTCCAGGGGACAGAGAGAAAAAGTAGATCCCGGTGAGATAACAAAGAGGAATGCAGGCTTCTGCATAGGCTCCTGAGGCATGGAAGCTCCTGGGGGAAAAGACAGACCTGAGCTTTCAGGCAACCAGGGGAGCGCTGCTAGGAGAGAATGACGTGGTCTGTTAGCTAAGTGAGGGGAGTTTAGCGGCAATCTGCCTTGAAAGGAGAGAACTGGGGCTTCTTAGAAACCCAATGGTGGGAGCTGGGTTTGGAACAGACTGAACTCAAGGGACCCAGAAGAATTCCAAGTTCAGAGGTCTCCTCTCTGTCACTGGCTCCCCCTGGTTGACTCTCCCACCTGTCAAGATCTTTTTTTCTAACTTCCTATTTTAAAATAATTTAAGACTTACAAAAAGGTAGGGAACATGGTGCAAAGAGTTCCTCTGTGCCTTTCAAGATTGCCCAAATGTTAACAATCTCCTGCCTTGCTTTACCGTTCATCCCCTCCCCCTCCGTGAGTGTGCGTACACACTCGCACGCATACCAACTCACACATACACTTTTTTTCCAGAACTTTGTGAGTGGATGCAGACACGATGCCTCTTTATCTCTAAAGACTTCAGTGTGATTTCCTAAAAACAAGAATATTCGAATATATAATCACAGTATAATCCTCAAAATCAGGAAATTAACATTGACACAATATTGTAATCTAATCTTCAGACCTTACCCAAAGGTTGTCAATTATCACATTAATGTCCTTTATCTGATCCAGAAGCCAAACTAGGATCACATATTGCATTTAGTGTCCATCTATCTGGAGACTAGGTTTATCCATTTAGCAGGAGGTTCTTCAGTCAGAGAAGGCGGTTTTTGTCACCTGATCAGGAGTGGCCTGACGAGGGTTTGTTCTTGGCCCTAGAGAATGTTCCAGAGGCAAATATTCAGGAAGGGCAGGGAGGAATGAGGAAGAAACTGACCTGTTTTTTAAATACACTTTGTTTAAATATGAGATAAATGACTTTTGTACACAGTTAACGATGTCTCTGTGTTACAAAAAGTGGAGTTTTGTGCATATTTCCCTCTGGCTTGGGTAAATCGTTTCATACACAGGAGTGCAGGCATTTTTATGGGTATGATTAAACTTCTTCTACAGTGACACCCTCTAAGAGCAGGGGGCCCCTTGTACAATGTGGGAGAAGTTTTGTGTCATGTAAGATAGGCTTCTCCATCTCCTGCAGAGAGGAGGAAAAGTCGGAACAGGATCGTCAGGTTTCGGGAAGTGCTATGACTTGGGTAGAGGACATGCTGAGTCTGAGGCGGCCGACATCTAAGTGGAGACGTCCAGGAAGCAGTTGAACAAAATGGGTCTGTAGTTCATAGGCAAGTCCTAGGCTAGAGAAGCATATTGAATTGAAATCATCTAGCACATTCATTTCACTGAAAAGAAAGAAAAGTCATAAAGAAGTAAGTATTCCAGGAGCAAACTCAGCAGAGAGAGAAACATGACCAGTTTCTCAAACGCTGAGCTCATATCTGCCTTCTCCTCTTTTCCTTTCTCAAACAAAATCACTGTTTTCTCGGCTCTGAAGGAGGAACATGGAAAACAGATGTCCTACATGTGTGTTGCCCTCAGAAATTCCCAGGGTGACAGTGTGAGGAGCAGCTTGTGAAGTGGTGTCTCGCTGACTTCACACATGGCCCCATGGCTGCCTGGTGACAGTCCCTCTTGAGCCCAGCACGTCCCTCTGGCTGGAACCCAGAGCCCAGTGGGCAGCCCAGTTTTCCACCAGATCCCCTGCAGGGGAGCCCCCTACATCGTTACCGCCCAGGCATGCAGGGCCCAGAGTTTTCCCTCCAAGACTGACTTTCTCACTGACCAGGGGGTTCTTCCCCTCACCAGGGAACCAGAGTTCTGGCTAAGCATTTTCATTAAAATTTATATTCATTAATGTATTCTAGATGATACAACCTAACAATATGTCATGTCTATTGTCATATGTAGTACCTATGAATCTCACAAACTTTGTAAAAACAGGTGAGATTAAAATAAAATATATGATTAAAAATGAAAGTTTCCTGGAGCTGGCCTGGTGGCATAGTGGTTAACTTCACATGCTCCACTTCAGCGGCCTGGAGTTCGTGGGTTTGGATTCCGGGCACAGACCTGCACACCACCCGTCACGCCATGCTGTGATGGCGTCCCACATACAAACTGGAGGAAGATTGGCACAGATGTCAGTTCAGGGACAATCTTCCTCACAAAAAAGAAAGAAAAGTTTCCTGTAACATAGTATTTCCGACTTTTGCACCATCACCCCTACTTGCTTTAACATCTACATCAAG